CACCCATTCCTTGAGTCAGCAAATCTGTATCAGCATTAAATTTGCTATACCCATTCCTAGTCCCTGTATTACTACCTCCATTTTGGCTTTCTGAAGAATTGGAATATTCTGATTTCATATGTGCCAGGCATGTTAAGCAAAGTGGTTAATTAAATGCCGCTCCCTTTACCAATGTTCTTCTCTTCCACTTTTGACAAGATATAATTTCATATAAACTATAGGTACATTCTCAAAAAAGTCATAGGCTAAAACATCAAGTAGTCAGTATTTTTGAACATTTTTTCTCAAATGTTAATATGTTCTTAAAGTTTTGGTGTGAAGATTTTCTATTTTTAAAATACTATGAAAAGCATTGATTCTGCTGCTCTAAATCTATATAATACAACATGGCATGAGCTAAATATAAGATTTCTCTTACTTAAAAATAATGTAAAGATATTTACATTATTAATTTAAATATTTATAAATATTTGAATCAAAATTGGATGCGTGAATTATATCAATGCAACTGAAAATTCATGGCGGAGAAAGAGATTGGGCAAACATGCATTAAGAATGCATGGTTGAGAGCAGGAATTTTACTCTTTATCCTCCCACACTTCAATCTGTCTTCCACAAATTATAGTTTGTATTTAGAGAATAACCTCTATCCATGTCAATTAATGCAATTTACAACTGACTTTAACTTCTTGGCACAAACATACATACAACAAGCTTTACTAAATTGAAGTATGGGCCCATTCTAAGCCAGGGTACTATTTCTGAGACTGGCCAAGTATTTCCAAGGAAAAGTGAAATAAAACTGTGTTGAAATCTGAATCAGCTTTCAACCAAGGACAAATGTATATTGCCAGGAGAAATATCATAAAGGTAAATTGCTGAGATAGCACCTTTGGACAACTATGACCTGGATGACTGAGAATCTCCATAGACATCTCTTTATAACATAATTTTGATGGCTTTCCTGACCTTCCCCTCTCCTACCCTTTTAATAGTAATGGTATTGTGCTTATTGGTTTTCTGCTGGTCTCTTAAAAGTTATAGTATATATTCATAATACTCTTTTGATTATCAGTTTGGCAGAATAAAATAAAGGGGATAATTTTAATACATTTAAGATGTTATGAATATATAATTTAATTTGAAAACTGATACAAAATTCCAAAATTAAGTCAAATTTATTTTGGTTATGTATTGATAGTTAACCTTTTAAAATTCATTGTACCTTTTCCTTTGTAATTTAATTAAAAAGCTTTATATAGTATTGCTCCATTGTGAGGGTTTTCTACAAAGGTTTTCTATAATTAAAGTTACATATTTATTTAAAGAAGTGTATTTAACTTAGAAAGAGAGATTAGTATGATTAATAACTGACAGGTAGTGGGTTGCAAAATGCAATTAGAATAACACATTTAAACAAGTTATTTTAAGGAAAGTTTATTGCTTTTTCAGAAGAGTGGGTCAACATAATTTTCAGCCTGAACTATCACTTTTTTAGAATGACATTAAAATGGCCAATAAATCCAGTTTTCAACATGATTACTTTTTTGAAGGACTAAAATGACCTCACAGATACATCGGGGATTGTGTGGCACACAAATGAATAAACTCACGCTGTTTGTTAGCTGCTAAAGTGCAGCAGACATATGTGCTGTGCTCTATAATATGAAAGTAAATCTACTGCATTGCATAAACGGAGAAAGTGAACTATTCCTCTCACTGCATCCAGCATCAGTCAGCTGGTATGGGTGGTCATATGCTATCAAGGTAGTCTTCAATTTACAACCATAATTGGGACCAGAATTTCCATTGCTAATCCACATGGCACCAGATTTTATCATCTTCTTTACCACTGCATTGTTGCGTGAATTATGCAGTTGTTAAGTGAATCTGGCTTTCCCCATTAACTCTCCTTATCGGAAGACAGCTGGGAAGGTCACAAAGGGCAATCACACATACCCAGGACACTGCAACCATATAATACATGTGCTTGAATCAGGGGTGGGTTCTACTTACCTTTACTACTGGTTTGCAGCGGGGCCGCGCATGCGGGCTCGCTTTGCTCGCGCACTCTTCTGTGCATATGCAGAAGTGTTTTGATTACGTTGGTGGGCAGAGCCTCCCGCCGGTTTTACTATCGGTTCTACAGAACCGGTGCTAACTGGGGGCAACCCACCACTGGCTTGAATGTTACCAAGTGCTTGAATTGTGTTCATATGACCATGGGGATGCTGTAATAGTTGTAAGTGCAAGGACCATTGTAAGTCACTTTTTTTATGTTGTTGTAACTTTGAACAGCCACTAAACTAATGGCTATAAGTTGAGGAATAGCTATGGTGGGATGAAGACAGTACTCCATTGTGCAACTTACCCAATACTTGTTCAATCAACGAGGTGGGTTGCCTGACGTAGTACAAATCACTTTTACCCCAACATGCAACCTCTTGCCCTATATTTGTCAGCTGATCATCACACATATACAATAAGAGTCTAAAATTCAAACTATGTTGAATGGTTAATCTGCTGCAAAGTATTTTAGTTTCAATAGATAATGTATTTATTCACATATTCTACGGTTATTAAATGTTCATTCTTAGGACTTTCCCATATGATTAAAGTGTGTTAAAAACCACCTTTCTAATCGCCTATGCAGATAAAGACACATTCTTAACATCTCATGAATATATGAAAATATGTACTTTCTTTTATTAATTTTTTAAAATAACTGTATCTTAGGAACTCAAAATGTTAGGTAAGTAAGATCGTTTTTCTAGTATTTTTCATATTCTCTTTTAAGTATATTGGAAAAAAAACTAGAAAGCATTTAATTACTTGGGTTTAAAATAAGAAATGTTATCTATGAGAAAAAAGCTCTATTATCTCCACAGCAATAATCATAGCCATTTTAAAAATTAACTACCAGAGCTTTCTTTAAAAACTTAATTATAACAAACCTATAAATGGCATGTTAATTTGCTTTTTACATTAAAATTAATGGAAAACAGAAAAGGCTAGTTTTCCACAGCATTTATAAACACCTCATTTTGGTGTCATTCAACAATTGCCTTCACAATAACAAAATTAATGAGCTCAGAAATTATTCCAGTGAACTGCATTATGTGCAAATAGGGATTAGACTTGTACATGATTTGTACACATGACTAATCTGTGACTTTGATTACAGTAGTCACTTCTGAATCCTCTACAATTTATTTGTGGTTAACTTGGTAAATATGGTAACTCCGGGTTTTGTAAAATCAATCACAAATCCTTTGTATTGGTTTTGAAGGATTGAGTTTAGAATTGCATATTGCATGTACACTTTTGCCATTTACATTAAAAATAGGAATCATAATCCAAAATCCAGCCTAAGATTTTGAATACATTCTATAAATTAGCCATTTGAGTGCCCTGGTCCAAAAATTATTGATCTGTGGTGTACTATTTTGCCCAGTTAAAAGTTACAGGAAAGAAAATCTTAGTAATATATGGATTAGATGAACCACTCCCTGTTGGGTCATTGCTTCAGAGATATTTCTTTACAGTTTCCTCAATGTCTTCAACAATGACAGAACTTCTACAGGTCGTCTTCAACTTACAGCCATTGTAACATTCAAAGTTGTCTTCAACTTACAGCCATTGTAACATTGAAAAACATATGTTTTTCATGTACCATTGCAGCATCTCCGTTGTCACATGATCAAAATTTGGAAGTTTGGCAACTGGCATGTATTTATGACAGATGCAGAGTCCCAGGGTCATGTGATCACTTTTTACAACTTTCAGACAAGCAAAGTCAATTGGGAAGCCAGGTTCGCTTAACCACGTTACTAACTTAACAACTGCAGTAAGACAGGTCGTAAAATGGGGCAAAACTCACTTAACAATTGTCTTGCTTAGCAATGGAAATTTTAAATTCAACTGTGGTCATAAGTTGAGGACTACCTGTAATGCACTGCATTCACTGGAAAGGTTGGGAGACATTCAGATATGTATTTGCCTTGAAAATAGCCCATTTGAATTGTGTAGCATAGTCAAAGATCAGCACAGGAAATGTTTTATGACATTCCATATTATGTCATAAAACGCTTTAAAATATTTAATGAAATTGCCAAATTTAAATTCCACGAGAGTCTTTTTGGATGCATTCTGTAAGTTAGCCATTTGAGTTATCTCGGTTCAAAAGATTTTGCCCAATGGTACACCCTATGACCCAGTTAAAGATTATAGACATGGCAATTTTAGCAGTATATAAATTATTATCTGTATAGATATATATAATTATAATGGATATTTATTTGTCAACAAGTACAAGGAAACAAGTAACAGTATAGACATAGACATGGACACATTATTTTTTTTTTGGCACAAATAAAAGGATATAAATAAGCAAAACATAGCCATAAACACGAGTACATATAAATGGGAACAGTAGGACAGGGACGGTAGGCACGCTGGTGCGCTTATGCCCGCCCCCTTAGGGACCTCTTAAGAAACATGAAAGGTCCACGATAGACAGTTTAAGGTAAAAGGTATGGGGGTTAGAGAGACTAACAACAGGATCAGGTAGAGTGTTCCAGACATTTACTACTCTATTGCAGAAGTCATATTTCCTACAATCAAGATTAGAGCGAATTACATTGAGTTTGAATCTATTGATAGCCCTGGTGTTATTACGGTTGAAGTTAAAGTAATCATTAACAGATAGGATGTTATGATAAATAATCTTGTGTACTAAGCTTAGGTTGGAACATAGATGTTGTAGTTCAAGGCTATCCAGGCCTAACATTTCAAGCCTGGTGGTATAGGGAATTTTATTTCGAGCAGAGGATTTGTGTACTCTTCTAGTAAAATATCTCTGGACCCTCTCTAATGTATTGATGTCTGAAATACAGTGAGGGTTCCAGGCAGGTGAGCAGTATTCAAGGATAGGTCTGGCAAAGGTTTTGTATGCCCTAGTTTGAAATATAGTGTTACCAGAGAGAAAACTTCGTAAAATAACCTTGACAACTCTTAATGCCTTTTTTGCAATGATGTTACAATGAGCTCTGGGACTTAGATCTTTTGAAATGAGTACTCCTAGGTCCTTGACAGAGTGTGGGTCAACTTTTAGATCATTTCCAGCCAGCATATATTTGATGTTCTGATTTCTATTGCCAATGTGCAGGACTGAACATTGATATGCAGAGAGAGGCTGAGCAAGTGAGATGATATATGAGAGTTGTTGTTTTTTCCAGTGTTCACATTTCCATCCAGCATCTAAGTACATGTCAGGCAGAGAAAGAGAGAAAGACACAAGAGTTTTATAGATAGATGATATATATGATTTGAAATAATATTGATACATTGAAGACTGGATCTACACAGTACTTTGGGGGGGGGATTACAAAATATTTTTCAAACACACAGCTAATTCTGTGTAAACAGTGTAAAAATACTGCAGCAGTTGAATGTTATAAAATATAACTACATATATAATTTGTTCAGATTCAAAGTGGCAGAATCCCAGAATCTACTATATGAACACTCCAATCCCAGAATCTACTATATGACACTCTGCTCATAACTATAGAAGTGATAATCAAATCTACTTCAGGTGAAGTGGGTCACAGTATTTCTTTTTAAGTCTTTGTGCACAATTAGCACTTTTAAATAATGGGGCTTGACAGTAATCAGCTAGATCTCACTTCCTGATAGAAACATAGTAGATAGCTGGTCCAAAGTCTCTGCCATAAAACAAGTACAACTGAGGGAATAGGTTCAAAGAGCAAAACATTTAATAATCAGCAACCATTCTGGGAGTTAGTATTATTATAGCACATCCAAAGCACATCCAAAACATGTACTATATAAGTTTGATCATTAAACTATATCAAGAATTGCAGCTCTTATATTCAATAATATTGAAGATACAGAACATTTCTGAAATTCCCCATAATTTTCTTTATAGAGTTTATACACAAAAACTTTCTATAATTTTGGTAATTGCACTATGTTTAGTAGATTGGCTTCTAGAACAGAAATCTTTGAGCAGGTAATTATTTTTTTACTTATACATACTATACTTTTATATTTTAATTCAACTTTTCATTGAAATCTGCTGCATATATAGGTAACTAATTAACCCTGGAATTTACCTGACTCAATTTTATGACTACTTTTACAACAGTTAAGTAAATCATGTGCTCATTAAGTAACCCACATGTCATTGGGCAAATGTTTTTTTACAGATATCTTCCAGAAAACAACAAAAACATAGTAAATCATGGTCATGTGATGCAGGGTGCCGCAACTGGTATAAATGCAAGCTGGTAGCCAAGTATCTAAACTGCAATCATAAGATCACAGGGAAGGGTGCAGCAGTTATAACTTTGAGGACAGGTAGTAAATTTTTAAAATAACTTTGAGCAGTTATTAAGTCATAGGTCATTAACTGTGGGTTACCTGAATATTTCTGCACCTGTTGTCTCACTGGGAAGAATTATTCATTTGGGTTTTTGAACGAAAGTTTATCTCTCCTACAAAATGGTTCATAAAACTACCTCAGATAAAATAAATGTTGGGCAGTATGTAAAGTTATACAGAAGCTAGATAATAAAAATAAAGCATCCTCATTTAATTTCTTCTCAGTTACATAGGCATATCCTTTAATTTTACCTTTGTAGCTCTTTAAAGTAAATTGTGCTGAAAGTAACTGAAGTTATCCAATTACCCAGTGCAAATGTAAACCTTGATTTTGTTTGTCCTAGTCCAAAACCTTAGCCACTGTACTACATAAAGTAAAAATTATTGTGATAAAATGATTCCTCATGCAGAGTGTGAAACCTATTGCTCTTAAATTCTTACTCAGTTTTAAGTCCCAGCCTAAAATATAGCATGAGCAACAGTAAAGAATATTCAAAATTGTAATTTAATAATCAGCAACCATAACTGGGAAGTTATTATTGTGTGCCATAATAACCAAAGCTGACTGTTTAGACTAATATTAAATACATTTACTCAGAAATAAATTGAACTGAAAGCATAAATTATAAATGCTGCTGCCCTATAGCAGTTATTTAACAGATCACATGAGTAGGATTTATAAGTGAACAACTATGCATAGGATTTGGCTGTGTTCCTTCACTGATCTATTAAGAGCTCATAAAAGTAGTTTATTTCTTCAGAAATAAACTGTATCATAGTTATTAGGGATTATGTTGGACTATGCTATCTAAATTTTATGCAGTTTGTGATAACTACTACTGTCTCATCTGTATATCTTGAAAAAGCTGAATTATGCATCACAGATTCATACCAAATTTCATTTTTACCCAGTTATTTTTATATAGAGAATACTTATAGTTCCAGGAAGGATTCTACGGTTATTGTGTGATGGAAAAGTAATTCCCATATACAATTGAAGAATGTTATCCTATTAAAAATCTTAAGTGAATTATTCATATTATCTCAATTAGGGGACCAGATCTGGGTTGCAAAAATCCAAGTGATCACTAAGTGGATTTCTTTACTGCTATTCAATGGTCATTCGTTCAAATTTTGCAGTCCAAAATGCTTTAATTAATGATTTAAAGGGGAAAAACATCAAAAGAGGTTGTGTCTCAAACACTATTGGGCAAAAACCTCAGAAATTGTGTTGTTTACACAAGAGGTTCCTCTGGAGCCCCAGAAGATGAGTTCAATCTCTGTCACCATTATCTAACTGCTAACAACAGAAATTGTGTAAGGGTAGTCCTCCACATAAAACACCATGCTGAGCTTTTACGAAGCCCAAAGCTAATAGAAGCATCTCTGAGCACAGAATCAAAAGTAACAACTTTTCTATGCTATTCCTTTCTGATTAGATGGAACCATAGCTATAGTAATTCTTAACCACCTGGCCAGTTAACTCCCATTTTTTGGAGTGGTAGGAGTTGCAATAGAATAGACCAGGGGTCAGCAACCTGCGGCTCCAGAGCCGCATGTGGCTCTTTGGGCCGTCTGCTGTGGATCCGTCAGGTGATCCCACCACTGGCTGGCCCCGCACCTCACCCTCCCCTCCCAGTCACTCCTCACCTGGCCTGAGAAGGTAAGGGTGACGGCGGGGGTTGGAGAAACGGCCAGGGCAGAGACAGAGAGATACAGAGAGAGGAGAGAGACATAGAGAGATAGAAGGAGGGAGGGAGGGAAGGAGAGAGATATGTCAAAAGGATTTTGTGGTTCCCGGTGTTTTTTAACAACTGGTTCTCTGCCCTAATGACCAGCTGGGTAGACTGGCTAGGAGGGAGTCATGTGACTGGTGGAAGTGAGTGACATCAAGTTGGCCATACCCACCCAGGTTTTGTGGCTCCCCGTGTTTTCTTTTCTCTGGGAAAAGGGGCCAAATGGCTCTTTGAGTATTTAAGGTTGCAGACCCCTGCAATAGACACCAAGGAATATCAAGTTGTATAAAGCTAGTTTAAATATGCCTAGCAATTTGTCACATTTATAAGGGGCAGAAAAAAAGATTTAACTATTTCCTAGGAAATAAAAAATTTTCCGGGAGCAGAGAGTTAGTGGCAACAGCAGTGTGACCTTCTTTTTCAATCCACTTGCAAGGAAGACCAAATTACTGCCACACGTGGGAAAATACTCCCGCTCCGTGGATCAAATTAAGATCTGAGTGAATGTCAAAAATGCAATTATTGAAAACTTAAAAGCTCCCTGGGAAATTAAGCCCCCACCCCCCACTTCAACCCAGCAGGTGCATCTTCTTTTCTGAGAACTTTTAATAACGGGAAACCTATCGCCTCCTCCCCCACTCCAATCCTCTTTTCCTAAAGCTAACCCCTCCCCTCACAAATCCTTTCAGTAAGACCTTCTGAGCGCTTTCCTCGCCTTAGGAGTCTTAGCCAATAACCTAACAATAACTTCTGCGACAAGCTTCAGAGGACGCAGAAATACCTAAGAAAAGTACTGTGGCAACTTAAATGCGAGCGTTTCGACTATATCACTGCCTCGGGGATAACAAGCCCACGGTCAGTCGAGATACCGCGGTCTTGCTTCGGGGTTATCTCCAGCAAGCTAAACGAAGGCGGAGGCCGCAACAGGTGAGGAGACAGAGCGCTTCTGGCTGGCTGAGGGGGCGGGGGGGGGGTGGGTGGGAAGAGAGAGGTAGCAGCTGCAGCGTCTCCCAGGCCCCTTGTTGAACGGTCTCCTAGCAACCGCTCGGCCAATTGGGGTGCCGCGTGGGGAAAGAGAAGGCGGGGTTTGCGCCCAACGCCGCGAGCCGCGCGAGCGGGAGGGGCCAGGTCGGTTGGCGGAGTCGAGGGGTGGGTGGGAGGCTGGGTCGGCGCAGCAGCGGCGCGAGCAGCTGCCGTTGGGAACCTGAAGCTCGGCTGGCTTGTCCGGACGAAGCCCGGTCGCCCCGCCCCTTCTGTGCAGCAGGTGGGAAGTGCCAAGAGGCATGTCCACTAAAGGACGGGCAGCTGCCGCCCAACCCCGAGAGAGAAGGCGGTGGAATGTCCCACCCTCCCGGTTCTCCTGGAGCAGGTCTGGGCTTGAGCTCTGCACGCCGCAGCGGCGGCGGCGGCGGTGGTGGGAAGAACCAGGGCGCGCGCTTGCGTCAGGATAGTTAGGGGGGGTGGCCGCCGGCTACCGTTGCATGCTGAGGGGAGAGCATGACTGGTGGGGTGGTGCAGGCTGGGAAAACGGGTAGTCGTGTTGCAGAGAGGGAGAGAGAGAGCGTGCATTCGCGTTGGAGTGGAGAAAAATGGGGAGGGGGGGTGAGGTGAGACAGAGGGGGGGGAGTAAACCCACGTGCGGACCGCAGCCTGCTTCCCGCCTCTGAATAAGTTGTTAAATAAACACTGCAGGGCTGTTACTCTCTCCGTTTAAGGCAGCTTCCCCCCCCCCCCCCCCCTCACTTTTCTGCCCCAAAAAAAAAAAAAAAGGCAAAGCGTGCACGTGAGAAGGGGAGCCTGGACGAAAACACGGCGGGCGGCGGGGCGGGGGGACACGGACATTTGGAGGCAGGCGGTGGAGACCCCCCCCACCCCCACCCCCACCCGACAAGGTCGGAGCGTGCGCGCGCATTCTGCCTTGAGGTTTTGATAAGCCGCGGCGTCCGAAGCCGCCCTCCTGGTGATGCGTGTTCTGTGGGTGATAAACCTTAATCGCTTGAAGTCGCCTGGGAGGATGACCCACGTCGCATTTTTTTATTTTATTTTTTTAGATCTGGTTGCTCCAGTCTCCAAATGCTGCAGCCCACCCCACTCACCCCCCCATCGAGTCTCTCTGTTTGAGGCACAGAATAGATTAGAATGAATGAGCTGGCGGAAGGGACCTTGGAGGTCTTCTAGTCCAGCCCCCTGCTCAAGCAGGAGAACCTATACGATTTCAGACAAGTGGACTGTCCAGTCTCTTCTTAAAAACCTCCAGTGATGGAGCACCCACGATTTCTGGAGGCAAACTGGTTAATTGTGCTCACTGTTAGGAAGTTCCTCCTTAATTGCAGGTTGCTTCTCTCCTTGATTAGTTTCCAACCATTGTTTCTTGTCCTGCCCTCCTGTGCTATGGAGAATAATTTGACCCCCTCTTCTTTGTGGCAGCCCCTAAAATACTGGAATACTGCTATCATGTCACCACAGAGAACAGTTTGGTATTTGCTCCATTCAAATTTAAAAATATTTTTGTATTCCTTTATATTATATCAACTTTCCCCAATCTGGTGCCTTCCGGATATGGCTGGTTGAGATCAGTTTAATTCACCTGAAGGCTGAGATTTGGGAAGGCTGACTAAACTATTTTTCATGACTAATGACATTCAGTGAAGTTATACTTGTATTGCATTTGTTAGTGAGTATAGTTTTTTTTCTCCCCAAAGTGCACTGTTCAGGTAGGTTCTTTGTAATCATTACAAAAAGGAATGGCATTGGACCTCTATAACTTTTGGCTGTTCCATCCCAACATAATGTCTATTACAAAGTTATCTGCATCACTTTGAAAATAACCCGATTCAACAGTGGCAAAATTCTTAAAACCAGCTGTTGTTGTTTTTCTTGCACAATATTGCATCTTGATGGAGGGAACCTATTCTTTTTAATTGGGTGGGAGAAATTGTTTCAAGAATTGGAAAAATAAATGAAAATGATTCTGCAGTTCTTATAGAATATTTTGAATTGTAAGTTTAAAAAAAAAAACACCTTTGAGCCCTTTGAGGATGCTTCATTCTAATTCATTCCAGAGTACACAAGTTGGGAAAAGTTAATTTCCTCCGAGTTGGGAAAACATGGGTTGTGCAGGTCTTCTTCATCTTTCATTGTGCTTAATTTATATATAAGCATGCATGAAAGATATCCTATTTAGAATATTTAGAAAGCAAATATAAAATATTAGAATTCTTAAATATTAGATGTAAAGTTATATGCACTTTTGAATGGCTTCTGGGGTCTCTTAAATTTCCATTCACAAAACTGATTTTATTTCACCTGGTTTAGAACATTCTGTACAGTAGATTGCTTGCTTACTGAAGGATTTACACTTCTATAAATTCATGTTGCAAGAATTTTTCTTGCAACAGTTGATGTTTCTTGTTATGCAGCATCTTTTGAGGGACTAGTAAAATACACATTCTTAGATATGAAAATTAGACATGACTACAAAAGAATTCAGTATCAATATTCTAGATACTTTGATTTGAATCCGTTGTTTCATCATTGGTAAAATACTTTGCTGTCTTTTGGAGAGCAGTATGACACTACTGCAAAAAGACAACTGAGTATGAATCTTGGACAAGGACCTCTTTTTGGTGGTCATCTGAATGTGTTGCTTAAAGTGCGCCTTATGTATATGTATATTAAATCTCAACAACATGAAACATTTCAGAATATATAATCAAATTGATTAAACCAACCTTTCAGATTACAGAATTTATCTCAAATTATAATCTGTATAAATATTGATAAAAGAAATACGAAGCAGTTACGTTGAACACCACTAAACAGTTGTAGAGAAGTGGGTGTTTTCTAATTTAGAATTAATTTTGCATTATCTAAAAATATATTTCTGTTCAGGCTGTACTGACAAAGAATGGAGAACTGATTTAATATAGCTAGACCAAGCAGTGCTGCTTACATTTATCATATTAAGAATGTGATAAGAAATTTATCATATTAAGAATATTAGGGATGAGATAAAATGAAACAAATCTTGACATGCAAGAATTAAAATGCTATGCTATAGTTAGTGATATTAGTTATTTTGAACCTGATCTTGATGAGTATTTAACTAGATAAAGAAGCGAGTTCTGAAGTTTGTGCCTGACGTTCTTGCCATGTGTAATTGTTGCTGCATGGAATTGTAAACCATGTAAAATTGACTTGACAGCAGCAGAATAAATCAAGGCACCAGAAATGATTATGTGACAACATTATTTAATCTGATTTAGACTTGGTGGTTACATTTTTCTTTCCACCTTTGAAAATGAAGGATTTTTTTTAAAAAAAATATTGTTTGTGAATTTGTTAGAAAAACAATCCACAGAAATATTTGTAGCGGTATTTCTTTTCTCCATGTATATTTCCAAACTGTCTTGTAATGTGTAATGAGCATAAAAAGGGCAGTAAAATCTCAAAGAATCAGGTGGAACTTCCAAGATTAAATTTTTATGACATTTAATATATTTATGCTTGCATGTTTCTTATGTACAGTGCATTGCAATAGTTGAACAAAATGAAAATACTGTTGTACTTTCAACTTAAAAAGGTCTTATACTGCTTACAGAAACTGTCTTGTAAAGGCAATACATCCAATTCAGGGCTAGGTATCCTGTGATCAATAGGCTCATGCTATGGTGGATGTCTCTGAATTTTTCTTCCGCAGATCAGGGAACATTGGTAGTTTGTTACAGCAGCCTCCATAATCTTTGGTCCACAGATAAAAGATTAAAAAGTTCGCTGGCAGCCCAGCAAAAATGTTATCCACTTGTTTCAACTCTGTTATTTTTAAAATTCACATTGATGATAAGTTCATTATTTGCCTTATATTTGAGCAAAATATCCTATTTATTGGTATTTGCAAGCATTGGGGAGTATGAATTCAAATTCTTTGTCAGATGGGTAACTATATAAATATAAAATGGAAAATGGAAAGTGTGCTTTTACCAAGCAGGATGTCTTCTAGGTCTGCTTATGCTCAGGTTTGGTTTAAATAGTTTCATTAATTTAAATTAGTTTTTTTGCTATTTTAGGCAATGCTGACATAGGAGGCATAACCCACAGTGATCATAATGGTCCTCTGCTGATTAATGAAGCTTCCTAGATGTGTTAGTTGCTATGGGAGATTGGAGCAGTGTAACAGTGGCAGATCTGTCTTCAGGTAAACCAAGTGATGTGGAAATTTCAGAATATTTATTTGATTTGTAGTCTTGGCAATTCATATACAGTGAATTGAATAGTGATGCAGTAAAATACCCACAGTAAAAGACTATAAAGACAGAAGCACCACCACTACCTATGAGCCTCTATCCCTCTCCTCATCTCAGGAAAGGGGTGGTATTTTTGTCACAAGCAGATTCTCTCAGGACATCTGAATCAGATGGGGTGAAATAAAGAATAGGACACGGGTGGGCAGTATTGTGTATTCAGTTGCTGAAGAAAATGTGGGGATCAAACAAATAATCCTGGGAGAAACCATCAGCTACTTGAAATTGCTGACTGATGTATGTTAATGCCAATGTGTACTCCAAAATGAGGGGGCACAGTGGCTCAGTTGTTAAGATGCTGAGCTTGTCAACTGGAAAGCTCACAGCCTGGGTTTGAGACCTGAGTGCTTCACGAAAAGGGTGAGCTCCCAATACTTACCCCAGCTCCTGCCAGCCTAGCAGTTTGAAAGTATGTGAATCCAAATAGGTAAATAGCTACTGCTTCAGGGGGTAGGTTACCACGTTCCGTATTTTCATGTTGACCGCATGATGATGGAAACGTCTCTCATCAATGCAGGTTCCCTTGGCTGAAAATTAGAGATGAGCACTGCCCCCTTGACTCAGTCAGAACTGGACAGGAGAAGACTTTAAATCTCTTAAACTCCAAAATACCTTTTTGGAATTGAATCCAAAACACCGCATAGGTCCTGGGTTTAATGCAAGAGATTTAATAGCATTCACATATTTTAGCCATTCATAAGCTAGTACTCTGGACATCTGTGCATAAAATATGTAACATTTCAAATGTGAATGCAGAATGATATTGTGGCTTATAATTCACTTTGCTGTAAACCCAGGCTTGGCAGACCTGTTACAGATTTTCATATATTTTCATTTAATAGCCAGTGGTAAATTTAATATTTTCCATGTGTCGTGCTAAAGTATTACAGTATGGAAAAGCATATAACTGGAAGAAACAGCACATTGACATATGAATTGGAATGCTAGCATAATTATTTAATCAAATGCAGGTTTCTCTATTGAAGAGGTATTGCCACAGATGTTGTAGAATGGTTTCGATAATAGCTTTCTTAATAAAGATTGGTATATTAATTATATATCCCTTCCTTCATCTTTCTGTAATTTGAACAATCATGGCTCTCAGACTTGGCTTGAAGGTATTTTGAATAATCTTTTTTACCTTAAAGGATAATCAAAATACTTTCAAGCCAAGTTTGAGAGCCAAGTCTAACTCTCAAACTGTTGCTCTCTTAAATCATGATTATTCTTTATAGGTTTATGACTGTTTGAACTTTTTCCTTTCCCAGATAATAATATTACTTGGTATACCTCATCCAGAAATATGTCTCCCTCAAGTTTAAGTGTGCCTCAAGTGCAAAACTCAGCACTGCCTCTGTCTAAAAGCATGCACAGCTTTTTCAGTGTCCTCTGCACAGAAGAGAATATTGAACAGAGCCTCTCCTATCTTAACAAGGTAAAACATAATTTATTACCAAGAGGCTTTCCTGAGGGATACCCACCCTTGCAGCCTCAGTCCTAGAAATTGATAATATGGCTCAGATTTCACCACCGTCTGAGATTGATTTAAAAATACTCTTATCTGTTGTGGTAGGAATTGACCACGCTTGGCTTCCCATCACTTTATGCTGATCCCAGAGGCAAAGAAGTAAGCATAGTTTCTGTATTAAACTGTATGAATGAGCTACTGCTGATGCAGCGTAAAACTCTACGTGCTCAGGAAGAAACAGAAACCCAGCATCTGAAACTGGGCAGCGATATGGACCATCTGCAAAACTGCTACATTAAATTAAAGGTAACATTCTATATTACGATACCCCTTTTTAATATGTAAACATGCTCTTATTTTCTAAAGGTATTAACACATCAAATTTGTGAAGAGATATTTGAACATAAATGCTATGTCATCTTTGATCCTTTTTAATCTGTGCAAGTCAATCTTTTGCACACAGAAATTAGACCAGGGTATTTGTTGTCTTTGAAAATGTTCAACAGTTAAAAACCGGAGCTCAGCTGAATGTTTTAAATTAGATTATTTCTAGAAAGATTCTAAAAATAATACTTGCCTATGAACTTTTTGCAGTGTCGGAGAAATGTTATTACAGATTGTCCTTGACTTACAGCCATTTTTTTACTGATAATTTGAATTGCCATGGCACTGAAAAAAGGGATGTGTGACCAATCCTCACACTTAAGACTGTCACAGTTTCCCCATGGTCACATGATCAGAATGTGGGTGCTTAGCAACCAGCAAGTATTTATAATGGTTGCAGCATCCTAGGGTCATGTGATTGTCATCTGTGATCTTTTCAGCCAGCATCTAACAAAGTCCATGGGGGAAGCTGGATCCACTTAATGACTGTATGATTCACTTAATAACTACTTTGTTTATAAAAAGATCATAAAACTGGACATGGATCACTTAACAAACACTTTGCTTAGCAACAGAAATGCTGATCCCAGGGGTAGATGTAACTCAGGAACTACCTGTACTCTTTTTATTTCTATAACTAGAAGTAAAGAATAATAATAGAATTATTATTCTATTATTTGGTGGGGAGATCTGATTTTATTAGGATTTATAAATGTTTAATAAATGCAGAAACCTAAGTGTAAAATAGTGTATACCTCATTTATACTGATAAACACTTGCTTAGATACATGTAGAAAAAATGTAATAATCCGTGTGATGATTATATTGACTGATTATGGGCCATCAAGTCATGTTTGACTTCTGGCGATCAATTATTCTAGTATAGTGCTTCCAAAACTACTACTAAATGCTGGAGTTTGCATTTGTGTATGTTCCATGGTTTTTCTTTATTGAATATACCCTTTCATGTTGGAGACACTTCTGGGTTGAGGGGATTAGCCAGTGACATCACTGTTGCCCATGGGATGCCTGTGGCAACCCCTTTCATGTGCCCATCATGTTGCTGGAGCAAATGATGAGAGCTCATCCCACCACGCAGCAGCAGTCTGGTCTTGAATGCGGGCTTGCTGACTTCCAACTCCGCATCCTAATCACATGAGCCACCTCGCTCCATTGAATATATTAATATATATGTATGTTTATATTAATATAATATAGGAATATTGAACATAATATTCAATACTAATATATATTATCATGATAATAGTGAATATATAATAGCTAATATTTGGTTTTTTAATAGCCAAAGATTGACTCTAAATGAGGTAGTTAAATTGCAACTTAATTCCAGCCAATTAGTAATGCATCCCTAAGGTGAATAGACAGGGTTAGAGGCAGAGAAATTGTGATCAGGTGAAAGGGTCAAGATGTTTCTCTCAGTATTGTCAAACCCTTAATTTTCAAAATTCCATGGAAATGATTTGTTTAAAAAAGATTAGAGGTAGTAGACATTGCTGGTTATAATAGCAATGCAGATATAGAAACAGGAGGAAAGTTTCACAAGGCAGAATGTGTATTCTGACCCTTGCCTTTCTTTCACCTTGTGAATTGAAAACAAATGCCAGATTATTTCATTTTCTTTCTTTGAACACTGTTGATTAGTATTGTGTTTTTGCTTGCTCCTTGTTTTTTCTAAAGAGAAAATATGAGCAACTTGTAGTTCTACTTGGAAGAGAGCCAGCATGGTATGGAGTATAGTGGTTGGACTAGTATGAGGGAGATGCATTCCATTCCTCTCCCCACTGTGGAAGCTCACTGGGAGACTGAACACTCTTACTCAATCTCACAGGGATGTTTGGGGGAGGGGAGAATGGGAGGAAGGAATGGTGTCAATGTTTCTTCTAAGGCAGAGAAATAGATGCGGAAGTCAAGAGCCATAGTATTGCAGGCCAATTCAGCTCATTGCCAGGAGTTCAATCCTCACTGGTTCAAGGTTGATTTGGCCTTCCATCCTTCTGAGGTCAGTAAAATGAGGACACAGATTGTTGGGAGCAATATGCTGATTCTGTAAACCACTTAGAGAGGGGCTGTAAAGCACTGTGAAGCAGTATGTAAGTCTGAATTTATTACTAGTGCAATTATGTGTTCTGAGCAGCTATTAGGCTTCACCTGGGCAGCCCTGGGCTAGGAGGTGGCTTAAAGGAAACATTGCCTGGAGTAGCTTTTTGGCTTCCATTCTCCATGTTTCTGGAGTTGCTGGCAAAGGAAAATTCTTTCTCTAGGGCTTGTTGAACTGGGAGTTAGTCTCTTGCAAATCAAAAACTACCTGTACTCTTTTTACTTCTAAAACTTCAAGAATGTGTAGAGGTATTGCAGTGCATTGGACCATCTCTTTTGACAGCTTAGACACCACTGGTTCCCACAGTGTCCCTTTCCTCATTGACTTGCTTTCTTCCCCCACTATCTGTTCATGTTTGTGGATTTCTGGGTCAGGGTTTTTTTTTTTTTTTTGGAAAATTGAATCTTGGGCAGAGGTGTTTGATGTCTGCTGCATAGCCTGAGCCTGCAGAGGCACAGTTTAGAGGGGACATTGTACTTTATGCTGTCTTGAGCTCTTAAAAGAGGTGCAGCATACAAAATGATCTAATTTAAACAATACAGTCAAAAGACGAACAGAGGAAGCAAGCATTTCGTATTGACTCATCAGTATCTACATTACAATAACACAGTTAAAATCAGCCTTAAATATAAGATCTAGCAAGAGCATTAATTCAATGCAATACGAAATGCTTGCATCTACCTCTGTTCGTCTTTTGACTGTATTGTTTAAATTATTAAAAAGGACTGTTTTAAATTGAACTAACTGAAAGAACAAACAGCAGTAACAGTTAAAAATATTTTAAAGTAAATAGTTGCCAGTGAGTAAGCTGTACTTTCAGTTTTATACTCCAAATAGTTACAGGTAGTCTTGACTTATAAACTAGAGTCATAAGTTGTGACAGTCATAAAACTGGTCATGACAAAACTGACCCAAGTGAACGAACTGTTTGTTTGCAACAATTATAAAGTGAACTCATTCTTTGCTATGGGGTATTTTTGCTGAAGATCGGAAGTAAAAGCTAGTTTTCAGAAAAAACATAAATTGCGATCACAGGACTCTGGACACTGCAAACAGCTATAAATGAAAGTTGGTTGCTAAGTACCCAAAATGCTGTGACAAGGGGGTGTGCCTGGCTCACAGAACTTAGGAACTGGGTTGTAAGTGCCTTTTGGATGGGTCTATCATAACTTTGAAAGCGACCAGTCATAAGTAGAGGACTACCTGTATGCATAAGACATTTTATAAAGTAATACATTAACTCTGTGTGTAGTATACAATATATCTCAATTTTCCTCAATTTTCTTTTTAAAAAAAAAAAATAGGCCTTTGTTTCCCGTTGGTTTAAAATCTTGAGATATTTCTCATATACCAGTAGTAAATTTTAAACATTTAAATGATTTTGCTTTTTATTAGGAGCAGCTGGAATCCTCTAGAAGAGAAATTGTTGGACATCAGGAAAGGGATAGGCAACTTCAGTGTAAGAACAGGAATCTTCACCAGTTACTGAAGAATGAAAAAGACGAGGTTAGTTAACCTTGTATGTCTGTGGCAAAATCACTGGACTTGGTGGGTTTTGTAAATATTCCTAGTCATTCATTTTAGAACTATGTCACCCTATGGAATTATTGCAGTTCAGTTTGTAGCAGCCATTGTGATTACATTTTTACATTACATTATATTATTTGTCCTGCAATTTCGTATTCTCTGATACTGAGGCCGTACAAATGAATAGCTGCTCTCCACCATTCATGGTATATTTAGTGATCTTTGCTTAACAAACCATTGCTTAATTCGATGTGTAACTCTAGTCTCTGTGCTACCCTGTTTCCCTGAAAAATAAGACCTCCCCGGATAATAAGCCCAATTGGGCTTTTGTGTGCATGTGCTAAAATAAGCTCCCCTCCCCAAATAAGCCCTCCCCGAAAATATTTAAAGGCATGCGCAGCTGGTCCCCACTATTTCTTCTGGTTGGGGTTAGGGAGACAAAGCTGGAAATCAGGTAAGATGACAAAATGAGCCCCATCTTGCTCCACGCGCCCCAAAATAATAAGACCTCCTCGAAAATAAGGCCAAGTGCTTATTTCAGGGTTCAAAAAAAAATAAGACCGGGTCTTATTTTTGGGAAAACTCGGTAGAATTAATCATGTTTCCAAAGAAATACAAGAAACAATGTGTGCAAAACCTTCAGAAGAGTTGTGTGGCATCATATCTGAGTGAAAACAAAATATTTCTCTTAAATGGAGAAGCAGCTATACCCTTTGCCACTCATAGATGTTTCAGAAACTGTCTCTGACTTTAGAAAGCAAGGCAATTTCAACAATTGAGGTGAAGTGCTTTATTCCCTTCACAAAGTTCTGCAAAGCATATTTTGGGGGGATTTTACACCAGTCTATAAAGAACTGTCATTTCAATTTGGCCAAGAAGATGAGGGAAGAAAATCTGTGATATTTAGCATCTAATGAATTCTGTGAAATGTTGTATCTGATATCTATCTGGAAGTGCTATCTGGAAGAGACAACAGCAAGCATATAGATAAAAGAATTCCAGCGTTGTTTGTATGAGAATGACGGCATTCCAGATAATTACAAATGACTTCCTGACCTGAAGCAGCCTACAAAAATTACTGAAACTATCCTGCCTTGATGACACTCTTAAAGAATTATTACTATCTCTTAGTGGATATTCATTTGTGGTTAAACCTCTGATATAAATGTGAATTACTTGGGATTTCTAAAACATGCATGTTTCTTTAAATGTATGCATTTTAGATTCAGAAGCTACAGAATATTGTGGCAAGTCGGGCATCCCAGTATAATCATGACATGAAGAGGAAAGAACGAGAATATAACAAACTAAAAGAGCGGTTTCATCAACTCCTGATGAGTAAAAAGGATAAAAAAATAGGTATAACCATTTATTATGGTAAAAATGGTGATATAGATGTTTGCTTCTGCTTCGTATTTTAATGTGACATTGAGTGATCTATTAGAAGCATGGAAAAAGTAGCTAAAATACACTGATGGATAAAAGTTGGAAAAGTTCTTCTTTTGGGAATGTGTACCAAGGAAGTTACTTATTAAGGATAAATAGATATCCAGAACAAAATGTATGATAAACTCCAATATAGAATAGATCCTATAGTATCGTTCATCTTAGATGCTGTGTGTTAGCTTGATTCCAAACCTAATCCATCTGAAACAAAATGACTTTTTACATTTACTTACTTGGCCATCAATTACACATAATATCACTGTGTGTAGAACTTTTTTTTCTAAATGAAAGTACATTGGTTTAGTTTAAATTAAAAAAAGTTTCATCTATGAAACGGAGGAAGGTTCTGAGAAGACGAGTAATGAAAGTATGTAGAGAGGAGATGTGATTTTGGTTTAATTTTGGGTTACAAATTTTGAAATATAGCAGTCAGTCAGCTCAGCTCTTCCTCAAGTGACAAGTCAGTTTTTATTAAAGATCTCTAACACATTGCTTTTTAAAATTATTTTCCTTGTTATAGCTATCGATATTTTAAATTATGTCGGCAGAATTGATGGCAAGAGAGGTGCCTGGAGAACTGGGAAAACAGAAGCTAAGTGAGTTGGACAGTAAAATGTTCTTTTTTGCTTGCTACTGTATTTCATATTAAAATACTTTAAGAGGTTTTTTTTTCCAGAAATGAAGAAGAAATGTTCAAAACTCTCTTAAATGAGTATGAACAGCGGCAGAAACAGCTCCTAGTTGAAAATGCTGAACTGAAAAAGTTACTTCAACAAATGAAGAAGGAGATAATTTCTTTGCTTCCATCACAGAAGCAGATGCCTAAAGAGAAGATTGAAGATAACACTGGGCCTGTAAGTGTGTATGTAGCATATGTTTAAAACAAAACTGCGTTGCTAAATCTTGTGAAACTGTTACAGGTATTCCTCGACTTACAACAGTTCATTTAGTGACTGTTTGAAGTTACAATGTCACTGAAAAAAGTGACTTATAACCATTTTTCACACAACCCTTGCAGCATCCCCATGGTCATGTAATCAAAATTTGGATGCTTGATAATTGGTTCATGTTTATGGCAGTTGCTGCACCCCAGGCTCATGTGTAATCACCTTTTGGGACCTTCTGACAAGCAGAGTCAATGGGGAAGTCAGATTCATTTAGCAATTGGGTTACTAACTTAACCACTGCAGTGATTCACTTAACAACTGTGGCAAGAAAGGTCGTAAAAGGAGCAAAATTCACAACAACCATCTCACTTAGCAACAGAAATTTTGGGTTCAATTGTGGTCGTAAATTGAAGACTACCTGTGCTTCAGTCATGTGTGATTTTGGTTTGGTTTTAAAGGGATGGAATTGAATTCACTGGTTATATTTTGGGCACATCTGAACCTTTTGGGGATTTTCTGTACCATTTTTTTGGGAACAAAACTATTGAAGATAAAACTAAGAATAAAAATAAAATATTTAATGTATAATATTTAAATATAATTAATCATTAAAATGTAAAGAAATACTTTAAGAATCATCAAATCAAATAAACCTCCATTATGGTCAAAGACCAGCATAAGGGGGGTGGGCTACAAGGAATTTAAAGGCATTTAAAAAATACAGAAATAAAATTACATAGAAAGATAAAAAATATAAAAACAAAAATCTAGGAGGGATAAAAACAATAAATGTTCTTTAAATTGCATAATTTTTTCACTTAAGAACAGTAATAAAACACTAACATCATGTGATTTTAAGTTCCACAATTGAGAAGTTCAAGTCCCCATATGTTGTAAGGTTCATAAAATGTTTTCTTTCTATATCCAATACTCTATCTTTTACTGAGGATGTGAATCTGAGTCAGAGCATCTATGATTGATTATTATTGATTGCTGTTTCTATTTTGGGCTGTTTTTTCCCCTTGCAGGCTACTCATAGTGACTCTCTTTTGAGTCGGACAACCATAGAAATTCTTTAGTAAATATATGGATTTTTTTTTCCTATGTAAAAACATAAGAGAGGAATAGAAAAGTTTCTATATGGTTTCCAGTTAGGAGACCATTAGTCTTTTAAGAGGAAAGAATATAAACCAGTTAAGGCTTTAGAATTCTGTGCAGGTTCAAAAATATTTTTCAAACTGTAAATTATTTTGTAACATTTTCACTTTTATATTCTGTTACACAGATGTAAGGATAGGCTTGTGTTGGAGAACCTGAACTCATAGTAATTGTAGTTCACAAATAACTTGCTCTAAGTGGACAAATTATTCTAATCGGGGGCACTTGATTCTTGTTTCAAAGCTGTTCTGTTGTTCTGCCTTCAGTCCCTTCCACCATTATATTAATTAATACATCCCTTAATTACCTTTATTCTCTTTCAATATACTATGCAGGATAGGAATTCAGTGTTGTTACCCTCTTTACGCAGTAGGTGGAGCTAGTACTGTTCTTTGACCTAAAGAACAACCTTATTATAGAAACGATGCAAGTGTCTTGGTAGGACAATCAGCTATAGCTAGTGAAGTGATTAGTTGTGGTACATGAGGAATACCAACACATAGCCAAGAAAGAGAGCTTTCCCAAGATTGTAATTGATTTAATATATTACATAAATAAATATAATAATATTTAATAAATATATAATCATAATTTTAATTTTTTTTTGAAGTTAATAATAGTACTGTAAATAAAAATGCACACAGTAAATACCCATAACAAAATACAAAGGAAACCAGTAGAATTATCTTGCCATCAGGGAGAATAATATACACTATAAAATTATTATCAGAATGAAACAAGAATGGAACAAGAACTAAAGATGACCTCAATTAACATAAACGGACTAAATTCACCAACCAAAAGAACACACACATTTACAAAATCACATAAATTGGAGATGGATGTCATAATCTTGCAAGAAGTCCATATTAAAAAAACAACACTAAAAATTATTAGAAAACCAAAGATTAGGAACACTATACACATCATTAGTGGATCAGAAAAAGAGAGGAGTTGCAGTATACATTAAGAAACAGATGGACGGATTTTGATGATAGAAATACAGTGTCAAAAAAAATATTATTAATATCGATACATGCACCCAATGGAAACCAAAGTGAATTCTTCAAAAAAAATACATAACATAATTAAAGATCTGGAATATGAGAATATCTGTATCATAGGAGATTTCAACGCAATCATGGACACCGAAAAAGATTATCAGAGCAATAAAAAGAACAAAACCAGGAAAAAAACATTACCGGATACATTCAAAGACATGGCTGACGAATTACAATTACATGATGCTTGGAGAGAGGCGAATAAACAAGCGAAACAATATACATTCTATTCTGGCCCACACCAATCGTGGTCCAGAATAGATATGGCTTGGACGACCTCAGAATTTAGGAAAGAGATAAAAGTCATTGAAATATCACCAAATACCTGGGTAGATCACAGTCCAATAACAATAGTATGGAAAGGATACCGGAAACAAAAGGTGGATGATGGACACTGGAATGATTAAGGACAAGGAATATTCACAGATGATGGAGAAAGAAATGAATATGTTTTTTCAGATAAACACCAAAGAACAGACAACACTCCAAAACCTCTGGGATAATGCCAAAGCCTACATAAGAGGCCTTACCATCGCGTATACAGCAAAGAAAAATAAAGATAAACAACAGACAAGAAACAACCTATTAACAGAACTCAGAACACATGAATTAGAACTGCAGAAACAACTCCACAATAAAATAATTAAAGGAAAGTTAAAACTTGTCAAACATAAAATTAATTTAATTACACAAACAGAAATTGCACAGAAAATCAAACTGGCAAAACAAAAACACTTTGAGTATGCAAATAAAACAGGTTGCTGGTTAGCGTACAAATTGAAAAAGGAAAAAAGAAGAGGACCATATACCAACTACAAGACGAAAAATATACTACATAAATATACTACATAAATCAAGGCAAAAAACTTATAGCAAAAAATTTCTTTCAGAACCTTTACAAACAAGAAATCAGGGAAGAGGATATTAAGGAATATTTACGTAAAACAAATATCCAAAAGCTGGAGGAGATACACAAAAGAGTCATTAAATAGATCAATTATCATGACTGAATTGCTGGAAGCAAGGGAAAAAAAAAACAGTAAAACTCCCGGACCAGAAGGCATACCAACAGAATTTTATAAAAAATGTCAGCACCCAATGGACGAGTTCTTACTCCAAGTTCTCAACGATATACTCTTAGAAGCAAAAATTCCCAATTCCTGGGCTGAAACCATTATTACACTCATCCCAAAAGAAGACACTGATCCCACACAAATCAAAAACTACAGACCAATATCGCTGTTAAATGTGGATTATAAACTGTTGGTCATTACACAGAGACTGAAAACAATTATTCATAAATACATCCACTCAGACCAAAATGTTTTGTTCCAAGAAGACAGACCAAAAATAATATGAGAACAATCATTAACGTCTTTGAATACTATGAGAAAAAATTGGAAAAACAACTGGCCTTAATTTTCCTGGACGCGCAGAAGGCATTCAATAACTTAAATTGGGGTCTTCCGTTGGCACCGCCGGCATTGCGGGTGGTCTTTTCGGACCGCCAGCCCCGCGATTCCGTTGGAGCCGTTCTGACAGCGCTAATCAGCTGTCAGACGGCTTGAAAACCTCTCCTTCGGGAGAAGAAGGAGAGGAGAGCCGGTGGGCAAGGGTAGAGCTCCCCGGGAACCCCTGGAGCAACTCCAGGGGCTTGGAGGGTGAGAGCTCCCCGTTCAGCCCACTGAAGCTCCGGATCCATGGCGACTCCGTTTTAAACGGAGCTAGACGCCAGCGACCAACTCTGCTGTCAACAAGGAGACTAATTGATTCCAAAAGCAGGCAGAACGGAAGCAGGAGAACAAGCCTTTGCAAGTATGTTGCTTAATTCCTGGGATACATTGTTTCTACTTGATTTTGCTGAACTGAAGGAGGAAATGGCGTCTTCATTATGGCTGGAGTGAAAGTGAAAGTTAAGTGCTTGTTAATAGATTTGTGCTTAGAGACTGGACTTAAGCTGCTGGGATTTGAGAGCTGGGTGTAGAAAAGACTATCTTGCTTGATAAACTACAAATAAATTTGAGAAAGTTGCTTGAGAGATGTTTTGGCTTTGAAAAGAAAAATTTTCTTAAAATAATATGGCTTCCAAGCAAGGAGTTTCTGAAAGTGGTGGAAGCTCTCTAATGGCGTCAGAAATGACACAGAGAACTGATTCACAGAGCCAAGAGGATTTTTTCAGAGACCTTACAGAATTTATAAAGAAAGCCATGAATAATCAAATGGCAATTATTAATAACTTTACAGCAATCATGGAATGAAAATTTATAGAGCTGGTGGAGGATATAAAAGCAAATGAGGATGTTTTTGAAGGAAAGCACAATGACAATGAAGGAGACATTTTGATTAAAACAGAGAAGCTGGATTTGGCTGATTCTCAAGAATCTTCAAACTCTCTTCCTGCCCTTGTGGAATTAACTGACAGAACTTTTCAAAAATATAATTTGGAGCAGAAAGAAGAAGAAACTGATCAGCCCTACGAGGTTTCGGAAGATTTGGCAGAGGCTTTCACACAATTAATTGAAATGCAACAACTGGACTTTTTTTTGCAACTCATCGAGTTAACTCTTCGTTCTATGAACTGACTGATTATATAAGCAAGAAGAGTCTATATGGGGGCTCCAAATCAGAGGAAATGATTCCAAGAAAAGGGCAAGTTTTAAAGATACATCAACCTCCAGTTGAAAATCAAAACCTCCTTAAAATAAAAGTAAGAGGGAGGAAGAAAGATTGGAAAAAATATAGAAAGAAAGGAAGACTAATTACAATGATTAAGTAAATGAATTAAGAATTCAATTAATGATTAATTAAGGTTTAAGAAAAAATATTTGAATTTTGAGAATAAAAGTAGGAGGGAGAGTAAAATGATTAAGAAAATGAACCAAGAATTTCTTATATGTTATTTTGAGTTTAAAGGGAGGTTGATGAATAATTTGTAGAAGGGGAGTTAAGGGGTCTAGGGAGTTATAGTCTTGCATTAACTTAGCATATTTTAGCATATGTTTGATAAAACTTATACCCTGTTTTTCTTCTGGGAAGTCGGGGGAGGGGGGTGGGAAGGGTGGGTGGAAGGGTGGGTTTATAAATGTTTAAATATACAAGGGAAAATGTTATTTGTTTGATTATAAAAAATAATAAAAACTTTTTTCAAAAAAAAAAAACTTAAATTGGAATTTTCTTATATTACAATTGGAGGTGATGGAATTTGGCGATAAATTTTTAAACATGATTAGGAAAATATACTCCTCCCAAACGGCAAAAATTATGATCAACGGGGATATGACAGAAAAACTTGAGATATCAAAGGGAGTGAGGCAAGAATGTCCTCTATCCCCATTATTGTTTAATATCCCTAGAAATCTTATTAAATGAAATTAGGAAAGACAAAGGAATAAAAGGTCAGAGAATAAAAAAAGAGGAGTATAAATTGCAAGCCTTTGCTGATGATACGGTGTTTATCTTGGAACAACCAGAAATAACAGGAACTAAACTGTTAGGGAAAATAGAGGAATATTGATCAGTGGCGGGTCTCAAAATCAATAAACAAAAAACAAAAACATTAACGAAGAACTTGACAAATGCACAGGAGAAAGAATTAGAGGATAAATTAGGAATACAAATGGTAAAGAAAGTAAATGATTTGGGAATTTGGCTCACCAACAAAGCAACATCAATTAGAGAGGATAACTATACTAAATTAACAAAACAGATTTAAAAAGATCTGGAAATATGGAGCAAACTACAACTCATTTTTAGGAAAAATTGCATCCATTAAAATGAATATATTACCCAGACTGCTATACCTCTTCCAAGTAATTCCGATTTGGCCAGGAAAGGATTTTTTCAAAACTTCGATAAAAATGATAGCAAAGTATATTTGGCAGGGGAAGAAGGCCAGAATTAAAACAAAATGCTTGCAAGATACCCAGGAGAAAGGAGGATTAGGGTTACCGGACTGGGATCTGTACTATAAGACAGTATCATTAAATTGGATAAGAGACTGGATAGATCTTAAAAATAAGAGAACACTATTTCTAGAGGGATTTGACCTACAACGAGGCTGGCATGCATTTTTGTGGGAGGGAAGAGATAAACATCACGGATACTTCCAACAACACATTATTAGAGGATCATTACATAGAACATGGCAAGAGATTAGAAAAATACATTATAATAAAATTCCAAGATGGTTATCCACCATGGAGGCGCTGATTTATCCTAACGCTATGGACACGGAGAAAATGAGAAACTACAAAGAACTACTGAACAATAGAGGAGAATTACAATCGAGACAAGAATTGAAAGAACAGGGTATAGACATTGATTGGTGGCCATATTTACAAATAGAATCAAGGTATAAAACAGATCGGGTACAATTTGGATTCCAAAATGAACCAAATGAATTGGATAAAATTTTACAAGGAAAGGACGAGAAAATGATAAACAAAATATATAATTACTTATTAAAATATAAATTAGAGGAAGAAGTGGTTAAAGAAAACATAATTTGGGCAAAAAATTTTGGGTATAGTATCGAATTGGACAAATGGGAAAAATTATGGACTGTAAATTATAAACTGACAATGTCTATACCCTATAAGGAAAATCTATTCAAAATGTTCTATCGATGGCACCTCCCACCAGCGCGCCTAGCAAAAATGTTTCCAAACATCTCTCCAATTTGCTGGAAGTGTAACGCACAAAAAGGAACATATTACCATCTATAGTGGTCATGTCGAAAGGCGAAACAATATTGGCAGGAAATAAGGAAAATGATAGAAGAAATTACAAATCAGAAGTTGGAAATGAAGCCAGAAACCTTTCTGCTTGGAATAATCACAGCACAGTATGAGAAAGAGATAAAATACTTAATTATCCATATCTTAACTGCAGCTCGTATACTCTTTGCCCAAAACTGGAAACATGAATACATACCGACAGAAAACAAAATAATCACTAAAATCACAGAATGCGCAGAAATGGATAAACTTACAAAAGAGGTACAAGAGAAAGATGACACAGAGTACTACTTAGCATGACAAAAATGGTATAACTGGTTGGAGAAAAAGTTAGAAATACATTTGTAGGGACACTAAAGAATAAGATCAATTTTGAGACAAAATTTTGAGTACCAATTAAGGAGTGTAACAATTTAAACATGGAACGTACATTAATGCTTCACATGTAAATACGTAAATATACAGATATATAGATAAATAAGGGAAAAATAGTCTACCGATGTGACAACTTTAAGAGCAAGTCGTAAGACTTGATGTTTGTTTGTTTTGTATGTTGTATCGTATGTATGTATGTTCGTTTGTACTTTTTAACTAATGAAATTTATTAAAAGTTAAAAAAAACTATTATCAGAATGAATAGTTTTGGATCTTCTTGCTTTTAAATATCCATTTTTAAAATGCATATTTATATATCTTTTCAGATTCTCTCAGACTTGGAGGAAGACTCTGGAGAAGCAAATAAAGAAGACGTGTGGGAACTTTCTTGTGAAACAGTGCGTGAACAGCTTGCTAATAGCATTCGAAAACAGTGGAGAATGCTGAAAAATCATGTTGAAAATCTGGATAACCAAGGTGACGCCTATTTTCCTTACAACAATTATTTGATTTCTGGTTAGGCAGAAGGCTAATATGGTTTGATCTGGATCTTGTGAACACCAAAAATGTTTTTAGCCATAGAAACATAACGTGTTCATTAGCGTAATAAAAAGCCTGGAAGAAAATTGTGTTTCAGATATATAACTATACAATATAGTTATAAAATATTATTAAAATAGAAAAATCATGAAACACTATGTATTTTCTGTATTCTTAAGCATATAGTGACTTTTCTGTTTTAAACACTTCTATTTTGAGAAATTGCTTCTTTTTATAATTACTTAAGGTTTTGACAATATTCCCATTATCTTCTTTCCAAGAATTTATGTCAGTTAAACTGAACGTTGTGACAAACATCCTGCTACCAATGGGGCAGCTGAATAGGCGAATGCAGAGAAATGATATAACTTTTAAGATCGGTTTAATTTTGATTTAGAGTATTAAACATAAGCATAGCGTATGCTTATGTTTTTTTCTACATTATATTTATAACCATGAATGGTTACTGTTTGATTTTGCTTAACATTTCAAAGAAATTACACTTTTTATAGCTGGAAGTCCTTAATGAACCCATTGATATTAGTGCATATATTTTCTTTTATTCCTTTCTTCTCTAGGCAATCATGTCTAATTCTACTCATTTAAGACAAAGCCTTACCAATAATTTTTTGGATTTTTACATAATTATTTTCAAACAGCCATGTTAATCTAAAGGATCTAAATAAAAGTCATGAAATCCCAGAGATTATAAACAATTAAAAAGCAATTTAATGGCTTGTCAGTTGAGAGGATTAAATAGATTTAATGAAAATATGTTTTATATGGAATTCTATTATATAGTGTTTGCTAAAACCAAATTCAGTAATACAAATTAATGCAATCAGTTGTCTACACAGGTGGTCCTTTACAACCATTTGTTCAGTACCTTACAAATTTATAGCTGCGCTCAACAAGTGGTTGTTATAACTGGTCCTTGGAATTCCAACTGTTACAACATCCACTTGGTCACATGATCACAATCTGGGTGCTCAGTGCCCAGTTTACCATTATGATGTCTTAACAAACTGTGGTCATGTGATTGCAATTTCCAGAATTCCCTGCCAGCTTCCCACAAGCAAAGTCATGGCAAAGCTGGCAAGAAATCGGAAGTTGTGGTCATTTGAGGTCCTTGCTTAACAACCCATGAGGTTCTCACTTAATGGCAACAACGGGACTCCCAGAACTCCCATCGCTAAGCAGTGCAGTCATGTGACATTGCACTGTACAACCATGTTTTTTACCAATGGCAATTCCAATTGCTCTCATAACCCAAGGACTGCCTGCACTTACCTTTACTTCTACCTGTAACTGACTACAAACAATGGCATGACAAAGTAGCAATAATGGTGCACTATTATGATCTGCAAGAAATACAATTTGCCTGCAAGCAAGAACTTGTGGGTAGCCCTCGACTTGAGATCATAATTGAGCCCAATTTTTCCATTGCTAAGTAAAACAGTTGTTAACTGACTTTTTCCTCATTTTACGATCTTTCTTGCCACAGTTGTTAAGTGAATCACTGCAAATGCTAAATTAGTAACACGGTTGTTAAGTGAGTGGGTTCCCCATTGACTTTGTAGAAGGTGATCATGTGATCCTAGGACCCTGCAGCTGTCATAAATACAAGCCAGTTGCCAAGTGTCCAAATTTTTACTATGTGACCATGGGTATTGTAATAGTTGAAACTGGTCATAAGTCACTTTTTTCAGTACTGTTGTAACTTCAGTTACTAATTAATGATTGTAAATCAAGGACTATCTATACTACATATCAAAGAAGGGATATGTCAGAGCTGATAAATATGCAATATACTTTGTAAATTACTGATTAATTGAATACATACAATGCAGTGTAACTAAATGCACCAAAAATAATCAAGCACTTTTTCAAACTTGTAGTATCACATGTATATTCTGGCTCTCTGAATGACAAAGATACAGTCTCACGACATGAGCATGAACTGGAAGTCGAAGGACTGCAGCTGGAAATTCAGCAGTGCAAAGAGATGATAAAAACTCAACAGCAACTTTTACAGGTAAGCATTCAAATATGTACCAGTTTCAAAAAAGAGATGAAATTTACAAGAAGAATAAAAGAAGTGCATCAGACCCTACTCCTGCTTGTTGCCAGTTATAAAAATAAAGAAAACCATATCTTCAGAATTGGCATAGCAGTGATCTTCAGAACTTGTTTAACATTCTAAATATTTAATTGGTTTTGATATATAGTATTGATGAAGAAAGGAACATTGCATGAATCATCCACTTCTTTCTATTGCTTGGAACTAGGCTAGTGTTAACATTTTCTTATATTCGCTGTAAAGAGAACAGTGAGTGTGGTGGCAGCCTAGTGGTGAAGATGCTCACCACCCACTCAGAAGGCTAAGAGTTCAATCCTAGATAGCAGCAGATGTTTCTCCTAGGATGCAAAGGAAAAAAAAAATCTGCTGTGAACTCTGTGTGGCATCAGGAAGGGCAGCCAGCCAGTAAAAGCTCAACTCCATCCAGTCACCCTGACTCTATCCCGAATTAAGAGTCATAAGCTGTAAAGAGAACACTATTCATGTAGAGTTTGGTTTGGTTTGGTTTTGCTTATTTAGTAATTTAGTTTTTGGATTCTCCTTTTCATCCTATATATTCATCTGACTTCTGGCTTAATGTGATACCATTTGTTTTGTTCCAGTTAGGTTTTTAATGTTATTTGATTAACTTTTTCTGGCAACTAATGATAACTTGATTGTGGTCAGGGAGGTAGCTTTCAAATAACCTTATTTGATTTTTCCGTACTTCACATTCTATCTGCAGCAGCAGCTAACTGCTCCCTGTGATGATGATACCAATATGTTGCTACAGGATTGTTACTTGCTGGAAGAAAAAGAGAGACTCAAAGAAGAATGGAAGTTGTTCAAAGAACAAAAGAAGAACTTTGAAAAAGAGCGCAAAAGCTTTACTGAAGCAGCTATTAGATTAGGACTGGAGGTACTTTTTGTTTCATAAAACTGGAGGAAGTTTTAGGAATTTCTTAGGCCCGTGATGGCGAATCTATGGCACGGGTGCCACAGGTGGCACATGGAGCCATATCTGTGGGAACGCGAGCGTTGCCCTACTCAGCTCCAGCGCACATATGCGTGCCAGCCAGCTAATTTTTGGGCCTTCTGGGCCCACCTGAAGTCGGGAAATAGGCTGTTTCCGGCCTGTGGAGGGCCTCCCAGGTGTGGGATGGAAGGCCGTTTTCACCCTCCCCAGGCTCCAAGAAAGCTTCTGGATCCTGGGGAGGGCAGAAAATGGGCCTACTGGGCCCACCGCGTGCCAAAAGTGGGGGTAGCGTGGGGAGGTCATGCACGCATGTGTGAGGGGTGGGGTGCATTGAATTATGGGTATCAGCACACGCATGTGCGACCCCCCTGCATGATCCCCACTTTTGGCACGCGACAGCAAAAAGGTTAGCTATCACTGTCTTAGGCAATCAGATAACCAAGAATTATATCCATAAATGCAGTAGGCTTTCTTTTTACTTCATATATGTTTCACGTGGGGATTGTTCAAAAGGAGGAATATTTATAACAGCGTGCACTTTTTTACTTAAAAGATAGATTGTCCTGCTATCACTGCATACAAGGCTGTTTTGAAAAGTTGGAGTATTTCATTTTCAACTATATAACTCAAGTGCCAACATCATCACAATTGTCTGTACTTCAGGATTAATTTCTCATATTCTTAACTAGTTGCATGTCATTGTATTCCCCTGAAGGAGCAGGTTCCTGATCTATAGCTGCCACTGGATTCACACATAGCAGCTGTGAAGAGCTGCTCTAGAGTTGGTTAGATTTAGTTATCTGTTGAGTGATAAGCCCTTCTTCACTACTGCATGTTCTCTATATGGGGGCTACTCCTTGAAAGTGGTCCAAAAGTTTCAGTTGATGAAAATTAAGCAAGTAAATTGCATAGTAATAGAAGGTACAGCAATTGTATAGTATCTACAAAAATATTGTGAGTTGTTTAAAAATAAATTTGTTTAAATTGTAATAAATATCTTGCAGTTTTAGGAAATTTGAGAAGATTCTGCCTGTTATAAATATAAATGGATCAGAAAACAATTCTACTTGCTTCTATCTAAAATTGCTTGTTTCTATTTAAACCACAGCAACCACCCAATAAAGGAAAAATAAATTAATAGCAATACAACAAAGCAAATTGCCAAGCAGTAGAGACATTTTTCAAGCATTATTAGCAAAAATGCTTCTACAATAACGTTTCTTACAGTAACATCTGATTCCTGTTGCAAAGCTAAGAGAAAAAAAAATGACTCGCCAAGAAATTATACCTGAAAGAAATAGAAATATTCTATTTGCCATTTGCTTATGACATTCATAGTTTCATGGGATATTTGGCAATATTTGACAGTGAACAAAAATTGATCCTTGATTGACCGGTCAATTGATAATATTTGACTGATGAACTGACTTGCCAGGTCAGTGAAAATTTCATTAAGGTCATAACCAGTTAATTAGTATCTAATAGTGAAATTGCAATGAAGAATTGGCCCACTGGTCTTCCCTGGTTACCAAACATTTACTAAACATAATTTGCAGTATTGATGTGGCCCTTCAAAGCCCTAACTAGCTTCATGCCTAAGGGATTACTTCTCTCATTACAAATTGGTTTAATTGTTAAGGAAAGACACTTATACAGTTGTTTATTTATTTTTATTTATTAAATTCATATGTTACCCATCAAGCGACTCTGGGCAGTTTACGATGCCATAAATTACAGTATAAAACAATTAGGATATTAAAAACATTAAAACCTTCAGTATTGAAAAAACATAATTAATACAAAGTGAATAAAAAGGGTCAATGCATAACTGGGGTGGAGGTGGGAATCTTCCCCTAATCTACTAACCACCTCCAAAATGGGAGACCCCAAGCCAGTTGGCCAAGCCAGGTTTTCAGGCTCTTTTGGAAGGCCAAGAGGGTGGATCTCACCTTGAAGGGCACAATGTTTCAGAGGACAGGAGCCGTGGCAGGGAACTGGGGATCCTTCTCTCTGTCTCTGGAGCTCTCCACAGAAGCGTAAAAAGCTCTGCATTTGGATTTCGATTGCTGAGATCCAAGCATGTAGGAAATGCAGGGACCTCTTTTATCCTGTTCCCCGAGTCAAGAGATGTAGTTTGCAACTTTCCTTACCAGCTTCCCCATTGACTTTCTGGGAAGGGAAGATTGCAAATGACAATCACGTCATAAGTACAAAGAGGTTGCTAAGCACCCAGATCATGATCATGTGAATGCTGGGGTGATGCTGATGGTTGCAACATTTTGCAATAGTCAGAAATAATTTATAGGCTGTAAAATGCCCTTTCTGAGGTTTTGTAATTTCAGTCGTTAAGCAAGTTCTCATTAAGTGAGGAGGACTAACTATATGTTTTATTAGCTACCTTGAGTGCTCACCAGAGTACAGTATAAAGCACAATATAAATCAAATAAATGATACGCTACAAATACAAAAAAAAATGCAAAAGTAATTTTGCGTTATTTTTTCAAGTTGACAAAACATTAAATACATTGATTTTTTTGTAATTTTATACTTTCTCTTGATACAGAGAAAAGCATTTGAGGAAGACCGTGGAGTTTGGCTGAAGCAACAGTTCTTAAATATGACTTCTGATCAAAATAAGGCTGACCGGATGAAAGCACAGAATGCTTTCCTGGGAAGTAAGATTTTTATATATGTTTTATCAGGTTTGGTTTCTCCTTAATGTCTCAAATACTTGTTTGTTGGTATAAATCACTTGTGATGCCCAAATAGAAGGTTGAAGCCACACATAGATGCATACAAGCTTATCTTTCTCATGTGGCCAAATTTGCCCAGAATGGTATAGGGCAGTGATGGCTAACCTTTTTCCCATCGCGTGCCAGGAATGCGGGGGGGGGGGTCGCGCTTGTGTGTGCCCACACCCATAATTCTATGCGCCCTGCCCTGCGCATGGGTGCGCAACCCCCCTCACCCACCCCGCTCCTGGCATACGATGGCCTGGTAGGCCCGTTTTTCTTTCTTACCTGGCTCCTGATCCTCTATATTTATCTGGGAAGGGTGAAAACAGCCTTTCCCACTCCCTCGGAGGCTCTCCAAAGGCCTGAAACGGCCTATTTCCCAACTCCCGGTGGGACAGGAAGTGCCTTTTTGCTGTCCCCAGCCTCCAGAGCCTCCCCAGGAGCTCTAGGAGTCTCTGGAGGCTGGGGACAGCAAAAAATGTCACTTCCTGTCCCACCGGGAGTTGGGAAATGGGCCATTTCAGGCCTTTAGAGAGCCTCCGAGGGAGTGAGAAAGGCTGTTTTCGCTCTTCCCAGATAAATAGAGAGGATCTGGAGCCAGGTAAGAAAGAAAAACAGCCCTCCCGCCCCCGCCCTCTGGAGGCAGGAAACAGCCTGTTTCCCTACTTCTGGTGGGCCCAGAAGGCCCGAAAATCATCTGGCCGGCGGGCGCATGCACCCCAGAGCTGAGCTGGCGTGCCCACTGATATGGCTACGCGTGCCACAGGTTTGCCATCACGGGTATAGGGTCTCCTGCCTGAAGCAAGGGGTTGGACTAGAAGATCCCTTCCAACTCTGTTATTCTATATTCTGATATTCAACAGGATGACTTATGGGGGAAGAAACTTTTTCCTTTCTCTATTAGTCTAAACAAACGCTATGCCAACAACACTGAGAAACAGACATTCTGCTCTCAGCTAGTCAGTGATCATAATTTGGTGATTAGTGGCTAGTGGGAACCAGACTGCTTCTAGTTAACAGCAGAAACCTATCTATTTCATATGATTTAGTGGATCATGCTGATCATTTAACCACCAAAAAATGATATAATAATAACTGGCACTCCTCAGAGCTTTACAAATTGTTTAGTTTTGGTCCTGTACAAGTGATAATTCTTTCATTCTGTAGGTCTACAGTTGAAGCCAAATAATTGTGGTAAATGGAATATATTTTTTTCTGCTTAAGACCAAACTTGTCCAAAATTTGTTAATGTGGAATTCTAAGGGAAGTTTAAGGAATTTCTGAAAATAAGTCTTCAGGCAAGAAGTGATCTAAGATATTTCAGATACAGTGTTTCCGGGCCAGACATCCATCTTTCCATAAATTTGGCACATCTCTATAGTTATTTTTTTTATTATTCATTAGATTTACATGCTGCCCATCTAGTCTAGAGCAGTGTCCCCCAACCTTTGCGGCTTGGTGCCCAGTAAGGGGGGGGAGGGAACTGGGCTGTGCACCAGGGACAATGCACACGCGCACGTGCAGCTTGACTTGCACAAGTGAAGGGCTGGCGCATATCCACATGAACGGAGTTGAGCTGCGCGTGCTACTCGCAAGCCCCAGTTGCAAATAGGCCATGGCTTGGTAGAGGCCACTTATAAATAGAGTATTGTCCTTAGATAAATATCACTAGTCTAAATTTTTATGTTTATAGAGCAGATCCCTACTATATCCCCAAAGACATCCCTGTCTGCTCTTTCAGGTATCTCTTTAAGTACACACACCACCTCCAAAAATTCAGAAGGTTTATACATACATTCAGTTGCTGTCTAATAACTACAGCAGTTTTAAAGAGTATGATTGCACACCCAGGTTCAATCAGAAAAAGGTAGTGAATGTATTATAGCAGTGTCTTATGTAGTTGCATTGGCTCCCATAACTTCCAAACAGTCCAAATCTAGATATTGTTGGGCAATAGAGAGATTGTTAACTAGAGCAATGTTTTGCAACTTTTTCTTTTTGCCCATGGCCTCCTTCCGAGTTTGTTTTTCATTTGTGGCTTTCTAGACCAGGTCCTACTACTGGTAAATAAAATTTATTTATTAGATTTGTGTGCCACCCAACTTGTCTAGAGATTGCCACTTGGCTTGTAACTAAAATATATGTTTTTATTTATAATAAAGGCAGTATTTTCAGTATAATCACTTGGCTTGTCTGTAGTCCTTTTTCACATGCCATGGTCCCCTGTTGCACATTTTTCACCTGTGGCCTCCTTGAAATATTCTAAGGACACCATATGGTCCTGGTTCGAGAACTACTGAATTAGAGGATGTGTACTATTTCTGGCTGAGTACCAGAATGTAACAAGGTTTATGGTTGGCTAATTTAGGATTAAGGAAACTAATTAGCAATAGCAGTGGCCTCTAGTGTTTGAAGGCTTTTGCTGAAAGTTGCTAATGGATGAGGTTTGAAAGGTCTGGTTGCTGACATGTATGCTGTATGTTGCTGACCATTTTAACTATAAAAAAATAAGGGCTCATGGTATGGTGACAACATGGGGAAATTAGCAAGATTTCTTTTTGAAATGTGTGATGTTTTAGTAAAATCACCAGTACTCAAACTTTGCTTGCTGTATCTATTTTTGTAAATATGCATAACATATACCAAGTTTATGTTATTATATTATCTTCATTTCCGATAACTTTCTACAAAGTTCAGTTATGAGAAATAAAAATTATGTCCTCAGATTTGGGGTATTTTTTTTTATCTGTGACTCCCATCCAGAAAGATAAGATTAGATAAAAATATGTTACTTGTCCTTGATGAATTCAGTATCCCTTCTGTTCCCAGCTGTGAATATCTCTGGGATTTATTGCTTACAGCTACAGCTGCTGTCTGCAATTCTGAGTTACAGCTTCTTCTTTTCCATTGTATTTTTCTAGCATTGTGAACGTACAGCATAATGCTAATGACAGATGCCTTTCCTTATTCTTCTTTACTTGTTCAATATATGTATTTTGTTCATTTGTTTATTTTACTTATTAACTTCTATTGTACTTCTAAAGTATGTTCTTAAAAAATTCTACCTCGCATTCTGGTAGATTTAGTAATGAGTATTTTGATTCAGAGTATTCCAAGCTGGCTGGATGCCAGCCAGGACCCATATCTATGTAAGTTCTCCCCTTTTCCAGGGTGGTTGGTGGTACTGTAGAGGAAAATCAGTGGTCATGGTGCATTTATTTTATAAGTTTCATGAGAGGATATTTTGCTATTAAGAAAACAAAAGAAAGTTGACCTCTTTAGAATGGTAATAGGTTCTTTGAGAAGGGACAGCTGCTTTTCCTGGGCTTCCATATCACTATATCACAAGCTTTAGCCTTATAACCAAATAAAGAGAGGGAACCCCTTCAAACAAAAGGGAACTCTTGGCCACTGTTTAAAGCATAAATGCAACCCCCATTAGTTTCTCAATCTGACTCAATGAATTTTCAAAGACTTGTAATTTAAAAAATGATTAGAAACAACAAGAGAACATTTGTCAGCTTGGAAATCTATCTCTAAAATCAGATTGAAAAAAAGGAGTAGACTTAGCTGTAATTTACTGATTTCTCTTGTAAACTTCCCAACAATCACAATTCTCTGGAGACTATACAAATGCATTAAAACACTTTCTATTCAGTCGATATAAAAAGTAACAAAGGGAACTAATGGTTATAACACCATCAGCAATAATGATGCTAATCTTGACAAATTTGGCACAAACCTTATAGTAAAGCAATTCACTGAAAAATTAATAATTGTAAAAACAGTTTTAAAATATAATGGAGAATTAAATAAAATACAGAATTTTCCCTTGGTGCTGGAAAAAAAAGAATCATAGAGGTGCCAGCCTCTTTAGGGAAGGCCTGAGCCTTTTCTGAGAAACAGTGTTTGTCTTTCAGGTTCCGAATCAGATAATCCATTAACAAATGTCAGGTCGCACCAAAAGAAATTAAATCACATGTCCAGTGTACCCAAATTTTCAGATGTTTATCAATCAACTCAGCATATTCTTGAAAACAGGTATGTTTTTTTCTCCTTATTTTCTTTCTTTTCCAACAAAAGAAAACACCAAACAGCTAAAATCAAAGTGTTTTGAATTGGGAGAAATTACAGTAAACTGTTCCAATAAATGACAAAACAGTTATTTCTCAATAGGATATATTGGAATATTTGGTTTTAAGAAGGCAAGTGCTAGGCTATTCAACTCACAGTAGCGTCTGTAGATTGGAGGCAAATACGTGCAAACATTTCTTCTTATGACTTCAATAAAATTATTGGTTCTGAGGCTGGTTTTGGAATTCTTTGGCATATGCCCAACTTGTAATACATTAGGACAAGGGTACAACATTAACTATGGACGTCTTCCTGCACAGAGAGTTTTTTATTTTTGTAGCAATGGAGAGATAAGAGAAACTGGAACCTATAATATGTTGTTGTATATTGTTGGCAAACTATTTGGTTTGGGATGGATGGATGTTTTCATAAAGGGAACCAGCTTTTATTCATCTCATCATATTGAGAACCAGTAGCAGGTGCAGTCAAAATGATGCCCTTATGTACATGGGGGCTGACATCTGAGAAAAGTAGATAAAGCATTTGCATGATGTTATGATCCTATATTTTATCATTCCTTCCTCTTCTACAAATGCCTATGTTAAGAATAGTGCATTAATTTTCTTATTTTTTGTTTTCTCCCAGTTTGAGTACTTTTCTGGATAAAATACCTGAAGACCAAAAGACCAACCAGATTAAAAAGGAGCCATTAATGCTGCAGATTAAGGAAGCCAGCCCTGTGGCAGAAGACAGTGGGAACAACATACATGGGCCACTATCAGACCTATGCACAGACCACATAATTAATTCATCTTAGCTTTTTGAACATTCTTGCTCTTTTTGTTAAGCTGTTTCACCCATAAATTTTTTGAGTTTCACAAAACAGACTATTCATGAGTGGAATTGATGGTGATAGCTGTTATGCTGTATGTGTGGCTTTTTAAGAATCCCTCTCTGCCTCCCAAAAATCTTCCTTGTATTTCTGTCCCATTTAGAAAGAGTGTCTGCCCTTCCCTCAATATAAATAGCAAATCTTTATTCAGATTTATGTATATTCTTATTACAGATGATATGGTTCTTTAATTGAAGAAATGTGTGATTTTTTTAAAGAAAAAGAAATGCTTCAGCATTGGTATGTTTTCTTGCAAGCAAAAATAGCACTTTTAGCAGTCAGTTAGTTTATGATGAACTGGTCACTTGTATATTTCAAGTGTAACTGGCATTGAAACTCTTCTCTTAACTTGAATGTATAGTATATTATAGAGTAACATGGCAGGTTCTATATTTATTGTATAATTTTGGATTACCTCTTTTCATATATTTTAAACAAAAAGCAGGGCCTTAGCTTTCAAATGCATAAGATATAAAGCATTATGTGATAATGCCATAAAATATATGAAGCCCTACATTCCCCAAACCATAGTATTTTACATGCCAACTGTTTTTTTGGTTTTTTAAAAAAAAAACATGCTTAAGGATTAGGTTTTTTAAAAAAAACATTTCAGGAAAAGAAAATTTAAAAATGAAGAACTACACAATATGGACAAATGTACATGGGGTGCTTTTTTAGAAGTTCTTTTATTGTGGGATCAGAGATAAGCATTATGTCTCTACTTTGTCAAAGTGTTCTCTAACTGGCCTTTGGAATTCAGCAATCAGACAATATGTAATGTTCCTGATGTAAGAATTGTTGACGTGTCTACTCTTGACGAGCCAATTTATATTTACTAGAGTGGAGATACGCCAGATAATTCAGAAGATGATTGCAATATTTTTCCACAGCACAATCTGAATGTAGATGATGCATGCTTCAACTAAGCAAATCAGCAGACTTGAACCCCTCTGAAAATATCTCAGTTTTTAAAAGGAAATAAATGTTACAATGTGTATTTCAAATTTTATAGTCTTTTTTTTCTTCCAGTTCATGGATAAGAGTAGAGTCAGTACCCATTTAGAAGTTCAGAGTGAAAACTTGACAGCAGTTTTTACAGTGCTTATGAGTTGGGGAAAAGTGTTGCAAAGTGGATGAATGATCAAATTGTGTTTCAATTTAAGCCAATCATTAAATGATGCACTTTGGAGCAAAATCTGAAACTTCATAGATACTCGGAATGAGTCTAAACTGACTGTAACTAAGTGCGAAAAAGATACCAGGATGATAATATAACTCAGTAAAGATGTGAACTCAGCCGTGAAAGAAGTGACTATGAATAGGGACTTCTGATGCAGAAATATACACAATTGGCACACAAAAGGGATTTGTGCAAACACTATCCAAATTGCAGGTACCATCTGTTTCTCAAGGAGCAGAGAGTTCATACTGCTGGTGCTATGTATGGGGAAGTGGAACTGGTCCTGGAAAACCCTAAAAACTTTGCATAAAAATTGAAAGTTCCGAGGCCAAGGGATCCTAACTGTCATAGCCATTCTATTAAGCTGAAGCTTATTCTTCCCTATCCAGACAGATAGCCTTCCAGCCTTCAGTCACTGGGAAAGAACTGATTGAACAGGGAGAAAGATGAACATCAGCATACAGGTTATATTTAACTCCATGCTGATGGATAACCACCCTGCAGCTTAATGTAGATGTTAAATTGGAGAGGAGAGAGTATAAAGCTCAGACCTCACAGATAAAAGGTCTAGAACTACAGTAGATTTCTTTCCTATCCAAATACTCAAGGACCTGGTCCAAATAAACTCAAAGGAAAACCATCACCACAATGTGTTCTTTCATTCCCAACACTCAAGAGACCACTGAGCAATGAAAAAGATCCTGGCAAAGATTGCAATCAATTAAATACAAAATCTTGGTCTTGTACACCTGACTGAAAAAGCTCCTGTTTCTTAAAGGCCCTCTAAAGCCTGCAAACCAACTGTCTTCTCTAAGAAGAAAGGTTGGAGATGGGATGACATTTTTTGAACATTGGTTCCAGGAATGGTTTCTTAATGAGAAGCGATACCGCGTGTCTTTTAAGAACCGGCAGAACCTCCATCAAGGATGTATGGACTACCTGGGTCCAAGCACACATCATCAGGAAGGCTTTATGGGTTCTTGTCTCAACCACCAATAACCATACTGACCAGCCCCAGTAAACCCACAGCACTGGCAACCTGCATGACTGTTTTGGTATATCCCTTCTGTGGTGGGGATAGCTTTTTATGGAAGGATAGTTTATGCAGAAAAGGGATATGTTTATAAATGCTTCAACCACTTCCGAAAATCTCAGTAATGAAACAATATCTACTTTATATAGGCTCTCTGTATCCTTAAAAGTCCAATTTTAGTATATTTTCATGTGCTGTAATAATATGACGTTTTACTAGTCCCTTGCTCTCTACCCACCCAACAAATCAAAAATATCAAAGAAGGAATTAAAATAAGTTTTTTATTAAAAGAGACCATTTAATGCTGTTTCTGTCATTGTACAGTAGAATGTGTATAGAGAAAAGGATGTGATACATCTGCCTTTTAATGGCTATTATAACATGAATGTTCTTGGCTGCTGCTTTATGCTCTGGGTTGTTAATATTTTTGATGGTTTTTTCTAGTTGGATTATTAGCTGCCTAGTCAAGTATATAGATGGGCAGTCACATAAATCAAATTAATATATTTATATTCTATGTTTCTAATCTTAACAGGTTATTGCTGACTTCGGTGTTCCTATTTTCTTAATCTCTGTATAATATGGTCACTCTCTAGAGAGCTAAACTATTTACCTACAGAGGATTTTGTGGGGGGAGCTTCTATTTCTGTTCTGCCCAAGTTTTCCTTTCTTTTCATCTTTTCTCATTGTTTGTTCCTGGCTGTTCTTGATTCTTCTCCTCTTTCCAATCTTGGTCCTTTTTGAGGAAAAGGGCTAGAAGAAATGTTTACCTCACCCCACTTTGGGGGAAGGAAATGAAGGTGTCTTTCTCAGCTGCTGCCTCCTTTATAATTGCCTGTTTCTCGGCATGATGTCCATTCTTTGGCTTGCCTTGTTACTTTTGAGTCCTGGGTTTTGGCTCCATTTATTCATCCTCTTCATGAGGCCATTCATAAGCCTCTAGAGCTGCAGAGCTGCCAGGTAGCCATTTTCCTTCTTCCTCCGGCCCAACACTGCTGTTTGATTGGCAGCTAGTATTTGATCGGCATCTGACAATGGTGGAGGGCCAAGAAGAGAGAGGAGGAAGGAGCACAGGACTTATAACCTATCACTAGGTCTTGCAATACGCAAGGTCTATGGATGCAGACCAGACTTCCAAATGATCTGTCAATTAATTCCTGCTGTCACCAACATAGTCATTTTGAGTGTGTAAGTGTGTAAGTAGCATACCTAGCTCACCCCATTACTGATGTAAAAATGGACCCAGCCAGATACTATAACTCACCAGCATGCAGATGTGGAGCATGATCAGATCCATTACCACTGCAAAGATCCCAGAGATCTCTGTCTGGCAATTGAAAAGCAACATGCTGGACTAAGATTGATCTCCACCTGGTCCAGCAGGTCTTTTCTTGCATTCCTAGCATTTTCTCTATCCTTGCAAAGGAGAGATGGTTTGAAGAACATCTCCCAGGGATCAGATACTTAAATCTTCAACAGGTTTAATTAGGCTAGTTATGGCAAGATGGGCAGCAAGCAAATTTAATAAAAAAAAGTTACAAAAATATTGTGTGTTGTTTAAAAATAAATTTATTAAATTGTAATGAATATCTTGCAGTTTTAGGAAATTTGAGAAGATTCTGTCTATTATAAACAGGAATGGATCAGGAACAATTCTACTTGCTTCTATCTTAAATCACAGCAACCACCCAATAAAGAAAAAATAAATTAATAGCAATATAACAAAGCAAATTGCCAAGCAGTAGAGACTTTTTCAAGCATTATTAGCAAAAATACTTCTACAATAATGTCTCTTACAGTGACATGATTCCTGTTGCAAAGCTAAGAGAAAAAAAATGACTTGCCAAGAAATTATACCTGAAAGAAATAGAAATATTCTATTTGCCATTTGCTTATGACATTCACAGTTTCATGGGATATTTGGCAATATTTGACAGTGAACAAAAATTGATCCTTGATTGACCGGTCAATTGATAATATTTGACTGATGAACTGACTTGCCAGGTCAGTGAAAATTTCAATAAGGTCATAAACAGTTAATTAGTATCTAACAGTGAAATTGCAATAAAGAATTGGCCCACTGAAGATATTTTGTACTTGTGGATATGTGCAACAAGCTGGACCCAGTTTAATTTAGTAAGCATTTATTTTCATAATCAATTTGCTTCACTGCATTCAGTACAGCTAAAATATGAATTAATGATTTGATTACATTTATAAATTAACCCTCACTCATCAAGTTTCAGGTTGATGAACCAAACAGCAAAGTGTAATTAAAACTTACTGTAAATCCAAAAAACAGGAGCTAATGTGATACAATATAATCTGAGAATAGAATTGAAGTTAGAATAAAATTAAAGTATTCTTCATTTGTCTTAAATATAAGGGCTGCCTTATTCTCATAAGGAATAATAAAAATAAAAATAATAGAAAGCAAGAAATAGCAGCAGAAATAATATATGTTTATTAAACGTTTTTTTCTTAGTATAAAATACAAATACAAATAAATAGAAATAAAGACCATAGAAAAAAGAGAGGGTAAAAGGATAAAATGAGGGAAGAGAAAAAAAGAAAGAAAGAAACCAAAAGCAGCAACTTTCTATTTTTTTAATGCAATAAATTACGTAATAAAATTATAGTATCAACTTTCTAGGTTTTTTTTTTTTTTGTTATAATTATTAATACTGGGAGTGATATAGCCAGTTTCACCTCGTGTAAAAAAAAAAGTATATTACAACAGCTAACCAGCGGCTTTGTTATAAATATCAAAGATTTTATGAGACTTGGCCATAAAGCAAAGTTTTTAAGAAGATGTCAAATGGATCTCCCTGGAGTGTTACCATTAAAAGGATCTTCTCTGTCAGCCATTCTCCTCAGTTTACTTAGTGGGATCTAACTGAGTTGTGATTGGTAAAGCATGATTAGGGCCAATTCTGTTCTTTCATAATCCTTCAATCAATCTTTTATTACACTCACAGACCAGAATTAAAAACTAAAACATTGAAATAAAATAAAACAAAGCAGAACAAGACATCACAGTACTTTATAGTTAGTGGTGAGTTTTTTTTGACAGGCGGCCAACTTCAGCCAAGTTTTACAGATAGCAGAATTTAACCACATTCAAAGAAAATGTATCCAATAGTAATAACTGCACACTGCTGATCCGATAGTAACAACTGCACACCAAAGAGATCAGAATTTCCTGGATATTGCATCAAAGTGAAAAGTTATGAGTACATGAATCTTTACAGAGGTACAGTATAAAGAGGACATATGCTAAGGATTCGGTGGCCCCTTGTGCACAGGGGCAGAATCTCAGCTCGTTCCGGGACATTTTTGTATCTGCCCTCCAGAAGTGCTGTGGTGAAAGCATTATCACATGCTACAGTTAGTGCCCTTCGAAATATAGAAACAGTTACATAATAATATAGGTTATTTCTGATTTATGGGGGTACACAAATCTTGGTTTAATTTCAAGAACTTCTTGCAACTGACATGTAGATGTAGACAATGAAAACAATCAATGGAACGGCTTGCCTTCGGAAGTTCTGGGGGCTTCATTACTACAGGTTTTTAAGAAGAAATTGGCAGCCATTTGTCCAGAATGGAACAGGGTGTCATGCCTGAGCAGGAGGTTGGACTAGAAGATATCCAAGGCAGTGGTGGGATTCAGCCAGTTCACACCACTTTGGGAGCACCGGTTGTTAACTTTCTGAGCAGTTTGGCAAACTGGTTGTTGGAAGAAATCATTAGGGCAAAGAACCGGTTGTTAAATTACTTGAATCCCACCA